CGGAGGAGCTGGGTGTCTGGCAGGGCGTGGAGGGGCGGCGATGGCCCGGGGTACTGCTGCCCGGCGGGGTAGCGGGGCTCGGGGCGCACGGGCTAGTTCCACGGTGCCCCGAACCGACTCGCGCGGCCCGTCCCGGAAGTGACTCACCTCGTAGTTCCCGGCGAAGGCGAGTCTCCGCCTCCTCCCCAGCTCAGCTCCAATAGGGAAACTGCTTCTCCCGTCAGGCCCCGCGGCGAGGGAATTCTCGCGAGATCGCTCAAGCCCCGTCCTTCACCTTAGGGACGGAAGTGGGAACCCGACGCGATAAACACCCCCCCCCCACCCCGCGAGAGAGGGAGGGGCAAGATGGCGGCGCCGCGGGGGAGCCCGTCGGGGCTGGGACTTTTTCTGCTGCTCCTGATCTGCGGGAGGGGCTGGGCTGCCGCGGGCTCCTCCGAGGCCTTTGACTCGGCGCTGGGCAGCACGGCGTCGTGCCACCGGGCCTGTCAGCTGACTTACCCCCTGCACACCTACCCCAAGGTACGGGACCCCGCCGGCCTTATCCCGCCTTCCTTGGACGAGCCTCTCAGGGTGCAGGTCTCCCCTCCACCCCGCTCCTGCGCTATGGGGCTCCCTTGGAGGCGCCCCCCACACCTGCCTCCAGGTACAGGCCGCCCAGTCCCCCGCACCCATAGCCAGACACCGCCCTCTGCACTCTGGCCCCAGGGCGCAGGGCCTTCCGCCGGGGTGCCCCTGCTTCTCCCCAGCTGGGACCATCCCTGACCTAATCCGAGTCGGTGAGACTGTTGGCATGACAAACCGGGCAAGTGTTGCCAGACCATGAGAGAGACTCCTCAGGTATATGTCGGGATGAGGATGGCTCGCTTCCCCCGCTCGATAGCTTTTGAGGTTTGTTCACCCTGGTCCACTAGTTGTTGGTGATTCCTTATCTGGTAGCAGGTGCCTCTAGGTATGGGGTCCTTGGCTAGGAAGATTCCCCCTACACAGCAAACCCAAGATATGGCCTGTTTCTTTTGCATCCCCTCCCCATGGGATATAGATAGACTACATGAAATAATATCTCTTATTGGATCAACTTTTGGTGGTGGAGGATAAAAGCTTTTGAGCTACACAGAGCTCTTCTTCGGGGCTGGGTAAGGAAATAGACCTGAAGAAGAGCTCTGTGTAGCAGTCAGTAATCTCCCTGTAAAATATACCCTTTTGGGGGAAGAGGTTGTTTGTTTACCAGGTAAGGCAATACCATTTCCTCTTAGGATCTATAATATGTTCAAAAGCTATTCAAGCGCAGAGCATCCAGATTTTGTTGTTGTGGGGTTTCCATGTGTCCTGTTTTCTTCTCCCTCCTTCCCTCAAAGAAACCATGCCAACTTGATGTGGGCTGCTCTGGCTTTAAAACCATACAAAATATCTGTGTGTGTTGACAAGTAAAAAGTCCTGAATCATGACACTGATAAAACATTTGAATTATAGAGGATGAAGTCTGAAGAGTGGTTAAAAAATGAGCACCCCAAAAAACTTCCACCCCTGGGTTCTAGCTAACTTAGGCAGAAGTCTTTCATGGTATCCATCTTTATAAAAGGAAGGTGTTGGAAAACTGTCCCCCCCCAGCTCTGTTTCATGTTGAGGTTCAGCATCAGTTCAGGATTCCATAGAATTCTGAGTTACTGTTGGAATTTGGAAAATTCATTATTCTTTTCAGTCTTGTGTGAATTTTTGACTGGTAATATACTTTATTCTCTATCTGCAGTAGTGTATCAGGTTGAGTTCAAAATGTGGGGTGCACAAACTACAAACGAGGGAGACAAGTAATAGAGCAGAAAGTTTGAAGTGTGGAATTAATATTTTTAGAATAAAACTACATAATCATGGTTTTGAGACAGTAACTGTGATGTGTATACCTCAACAATGAGTGGAAGCAACAAAGACTTGTGTAGATGGAATGAAATGTATATCTAGAATATGGGACTTTATGCTGCATGTTGAGCGGTCTAAGCATGATACCAATTGCAAAAAAGGCCAAAGTTTGGGAACTGAATCATTGTAAGATTAAACATCTTTCTTCCTTAATCCCAACCCCAAATCTTTTCCTACCGCAGATGAAATTTCAGACTCCTATGGTGAAGCATAGTTCCTTTCTTTTTGTTGGAGGACTTTGGCAAGTTTTTGAAGGAAATTGCGACTGGTGTTTCTGGTCGCTTAGTTTTAAAAAACTAAGCACTTTGAGCTCATTATTATAATATACATCATAAAGAGGCCAATAAAATGACACACACACAATCTTCTTCCTACTGAGTACTTTGTGATTTAAACAATCTATCCTGTGTTGATTTTAAGCACTACTTACCACTAAGCTACCAAATAGAAATAGAGGTGGCAGGAAACTTTTTATTTTGGAAACATTCGTTGTTTGGTTTAAGTTCAAGATAAACTTCATTAAGACTTGTCAAGAGAATCTGTGTGTGCATCATACCTGCCAAAGCCAATTCAATATGAATGTCAACATTTGAGACATAGTTTCTGCAGCAGGATATTTCTATTAGAGAGACAGTCAAGGTTGTTAGGCTTTATTAAAAAAAAAATAAAAAAAATCTTGACCCAGCTTGGCAGTTCTATGTTTTTGCAGTATAAAATATGAGAACATCTGTGTCTGAAAGAAAATCACATCAGTTTGTTTGCAATGGGTTAGTTATATGGTAAGGTGTGGTGTGTTTGCTTGTTCCTTTAATGAATTCAAAGTTCTCTCCACCTGTAAAACAGATGGTGACAACCATAAGGATGAGGACAGAGCCAAAAGACTTGTCTTGAGTTTTCCTGTTAATAGATTCACATGGTGTCAAATGCAGAACAATGTTCAGTGTTTACAACAACACTACAAACAACTAGTTTTGTTGGTCCTAACATACAAGAGAGACAAGGTAGGTGAGCTAATATCTTTTACTTGACCAGCTTCTGTTGGAGGAAGGTGCAGACTTTCAAACTACACAGAGTTCTTCAGGTCTGTGGAAAGAAGTCGGACACTTTTTGAAAGCTTGTGCTTTCCACCAACAGAAATTTGTGCAGTAAAAGATATTACCTTATCTATCTGGTCTCTGACATAGAAAATATTCCACATTGTGGAACTAGATAACTCGCTACTTTTATTGCTTTGCTTTAAAAAAATAAGCAAAACTTCTAAAATACCAGGGAAGTAGGTACTTGCCTAGGCCTCATTTAAACACAGTTTTTCTACCAGTAGGGTATAACTACTCTACTTGGGGGTATGTTTTTTATCTAAATAGTTATACTGTTACAACTCTTAGTTATACAACTTAGTGTGGCAGTAGTTATACTAATATAAAGGTGCCGTATGCCAGTGTAGCTTATTTCCCTTTCCATAAGGAAATAAACTATGCTTGTATGACTGTGACCACACTAGGAGGGTTGTACTGCCTTAGCTATACCAGTACTGCTCTAGCTATACAACTTTTGTGGGTTGACAAGCCCACAAAATGAAGTCTACCTTACAGACCCCATTTCTCTGCCACATGGTACTTCTAGTAATTAAAACAGTATGTTTCTCACAGCTAAGGGAGTATTTTCTTGTGAAACAAAGTACTATAGAACTTCATTAATTATTGGGAGAAGCATTAAGTTGTTTTTTACTTTGTCTTCTGAATGCTACCATACTATAATCTTGATTGGGGCATTATACACAGAGGTCGATATAGTGCCTGCCCTGAAGAGCTTACAGTCTAAGACTGTAACATTTGAAGGGTGAGAAAGAGGGTGACAATCAAATAGGAACATTGATATAAATTTTTTATACACTTGCTGTATCTTAGTTTTGTAATTACATAAAGGAATATTCTTCTCCCTTACTTTCCCTCAGCATAACCATTAAATAGTATGTTGACTAGCTATTTTGGCAAGTAAGTAGCCTTGACACAAGAATAGTGCACCACAAAATATACTCTGGTTACTTATTTTGACAACTCTTTACTTCTAATTCTATCCTATAATAAATAATTGTTGTTTTGACAATATACTATTCATCTTTATTATGACTCCTCACTGGTAGCATTTGCCATTAAATCTTTGAGAGGTAAGGACTGCCAACTTTCTGTGTGAATTAGTGAAGTGAAGGTTAATAGGTTCTACTTTGATTCTTTAGCAGCTAGCACCTTTATTTTTAAAGCTATCGTTTTTCAGAAATGCATTTTTTAGCTTGCTGACTTTAGTGATCTGTCTATTCAAGGCCAGCTCCTTGCTGAATAAAGAACTGTGTTCTGCTTGGACTAAGGAAGTCCATATCAAAATTGCCCAATTATTTTAAAGAACTGTAATTTGCTTTTGTTCCAGACTGTACAGACCTTGGTGTTTGGCTGACTTCTAAGGTTTTCTTTTTGTTTGGGTTTTTTTGCTAGAACATTTTCCACGGTAGCTTTTATAGTACTCAGAAAAGTAGTAATGTTTGCTTGTTGCTACTCTAGATTCTTGGATGGAGTATTAGTAATTTCTTTAGCAACCCTGCTTTTCTTGTAACTTCCCAGGAAGAGGAACTGTACGCATGTCAGCGAGGCTGCAGACTGTTTTCTATTTGTCAGTTTGTGGATGATGGAATTGACTTGAATCGTACCAAACTGGAATGCGACTCTGGTAAGATAATTCTATGCTCTTTCCACAAGATGTAATGTGAAGAGACAAATGAAGGGAAGAGCGGAAACATATGAAGGGGATATTGTCAATTTGACTTTTTTTAAATTGATGTTACTCTTTAAAAAAAGTTTGATAGAGCACTCATTAAAATTTCTCAAATTTTTAAAAGGGGTTTCTGCTTTGTGAGCCTTTAAAACATAAGGGTCCTTTTGGCCAAGGTTAAAATTTAGGTAGTGTAACCATATTAGGTGTAAAATGGTTAGCTGACAATGTAATTTTTAAGCTAATGGTGTCCCTTTTACTTCATGCAACATTGTGCAATGACAACCTAATAAATGACACCAGTTGCGATGACTTTCCTAGCCCTGACTATTTGTTGGGACTGTATGACTTTGTATTTACTTCAGCTGAAATGTTTGCTTTACAAAGCACAAATCTTGGTGAACTGTATACTGTACTACATCACTGATATGGCCTCATTCAACTCAATTTTACAATCTCTTTACTATGGAAAGAGAAACAAATCTTAACTACATTCTCTGCCTTGCATGTAGTTAAACAACTTGGGAGCTGGGTTTGTCTTGTTGAATTAAGCCATTAAATAATCAAACATTCATAAATAACTAATTGTTTAAAAGGATTAATTATCTGAAGATCAGACGAGGAATATCGATAATTAAAACTGAAAATACTTGTTACCAACTATATACCAAGCTAATATTTCTTTGCAGTTCTGTAGTACTTCCAGCCAAGGATCTTAAAGCAATTGATAAACATTAAGGTTCTTATACTGAGATCAAAAGCGTGGTGCCCACCGAGCAAGGCAGAAGAGGGAGCAGCTCTCCCTATGTAGTCTAAAAGTGGTTAAGTGCCAACTCGGCACTAAAAAGAGGCTCAATCTTGTGCTGAAGGCGAAGGGGGCAGTGGCCAGCTCCAAGAGCAGAGAGAGTTGGGGAAAGGCACGTGAATGCAATACAGAGCTGAGTTCTATGAGCTGGGAATAGGCTGGAGCTGCAGAAAAGCAGTATCCCGTGCACAGCTGTGATCCAGGCATTTCTTTTCAATTGCCAAACCACACGTCAAGAGATATCATAAAAAGGGGGGGTGCAGCAAAAGTCCAGATGTAGAGCTGAGTCTGAAGTGTTGCCTCCTTTCCTGTACAACATTGCCACCCTGGACTGTTGCCTTCTGCCTGGTCATTTGCCGTGGCCTTATAACACTGATTTTGCTCGTTGCTTGGTGGCTGTCCTGTGCTTTGTGATGCACTCCCTGACCATTATGTTCAATTCTGTCTCTAGGTGCTTCTGTGACTGCCAATTGTCTGGCTTTGTAACTGTTTTACCATAGGACTGCTGCTCAGGCTCTTGAGAACGGCACACTCAGTTATTTGGCTGATTACTGAGCATTCCCTGCCAGGATTTTGTCTGCCCTGTTTCCATAGACTGCCCATATCTGGTCGTACGCTTGTTCATTTTCCTCTCCTGTGAGAAAATAGATAGTCCTAACATTCAGGATGCACTTTTACTTGCCAAGCCTGTTCTTTCTGTGCCTTTCTGGCCTAAGCCTCCCAATACCCTAGTGAGAGAGGATTATCCCCACTTGACTTCTGTCTCCGGTTCCCCAGGTGTAGAGACTTTTCCCAAGGTCATACTGCAGGTGGGTGGCTAAGCCACAAATAGAATACAAATCTTCTGGCTTCTCTCCTGTAATTGCTAGTCTGTCCTTTATTTTAAATATTGGATACGGCTCTTTGGAAATAAGAGCAGAGCTGACTTTGTATTTTTGATAGACCTTGAAATTGGTATAGAAAGTCTAACTATACTCATGCAACACTGATGGGCAAACCCTCCTTTGTTCCCTGTTATGCCATGGCGCTCTGCAGTTAGATGGATTCCTCTGTTAGTTTACTTCCATCCCCTGGAGCAAAACTTGAACTCTTCCATGGTATGTGGGAGGAAAGACCACAGTCCTGTGGGAGGGTCTTTCAGAACTCTGGTTGATAATCCATGCCATCTCTGGTACAAAATCCTTGCCTATTCTACTGGGTTGAGGCTGTGTTAATTTACGTCACTATGTTGGAATTTTCTATACCAGTAATTGCTCTTACTTTATTTTGATTGGTTTTTTGCTTTTCCTCATTTTTGTGATCAAATGCTATTGCTGCATTCAGCTTTTAGATATAACCCAGTTTTATGCCTGTTCTAGATAGATCATCTAGATTACATCAGCCCAAAGAATCCAGTACCAGTATTGGTACATTGCTCTCGTATTATTCCTCAGGTGGGATAGGGAGTCTTTAAAATTGTCACTTGAGTCCTTATCAGACTGTACCTACACCTTACACTCGTGCTTTCAGTTGCTGACTTAAGATGTGAAATTATTTTTCAATTTACACAACTTTTCTTCTTTGCAGCCTGTACTGAAGCATATTCCCAGTCTGATGAACAATATGCTTGCCATCTTGGGTGCCAGAATCAGCAGCCATTTGCTGAACTGAGACAAGAGCAAGTAAGCATGTAGCATGTTTGTCAAATGCCACCTACTTGTTTTCTGCTCAGATTGTCTCTACTTTTTTTTTTTTTTTCTAAATTTAATGTGTGTGTAGAAAGATGGAGAGAAATTCTCTATTTAAAGACTAAGACCTTATTGGGGACAGTGTTAAATTGCTTGAATATGTACAGAATAAATCGAAAACCAGTTAATGATGTGTTTACAGTTAATGTCCCTGATGCCAAGGATTCATCTCCTTTTCCCTCTGACACTGGTGAGATCATTCTGGAGTGACATGATGGACTCAGCACAGAGCTTCATAACTTCCTCATGGACCTTCTACCTTCAAGCAGATGATGGCAAAATAGTTATATTCCAGGTGCTTGCTTGCTTTTTTACTTTTACAAGGCTTTGTGTGTCCTGGGTGTTAACAGTTGATCTCCTGTGTCTTCCACTCACACAACAGATAGCAGAGCCGTCTCGGCAAGTAACTGCATGCTTAATGTTTGGCAGCAGTCAGTCTCTCTTTGTAGTGGTCACTGGATTTGCAATGTAGAAAGCAAAATTAACTTAAAAGGATAGTGTGTCAAAATTTTTCCCCATTTCTTTTGCAAATGTGAATGATGCTTATGGGATGACTATAATTTTAAGGTTAATTGAAGCTTTATGAAATACAAATAAGACCTTACAATTTTCATTATTGTTTTAGTCAAAGCCAGAAGTTCAATATATTCCACAGGACACCACAGATCTTAAAGAATCGTTGTTGAGCAAAACATCCGGTAAGTTGGTTTGGGTTCTCTAGAGTGCAAATGAAAATATTCATAACCTGCAAGAGTAAGTCAAATCTTCCACAAAGGAAAAAGTCATTATGGGCAGACTGTCACCTTCACCCTGTGTACATGGCAACAAAGGCCACAGTAAGAAATTCTTTTTAAAATGTATTTTAAATATAGCGTGGTATACTACTGGATGGTAGTGGTGCCACACTGGAATTAGAACCATTTTAAAGAAGCTTTCTACTATCAGTGTCTTCGTATAGACAGCAACTGTATGAGACTAGAGTTTTTAATTGTAACCTTGTAATGGAGCTGTCATTGTGATCTTTCAGCAGACCTACAGCCAGGAGGTTCACAGACACACACAGGATTTTTTGAAGAGGAGGAAAGAAATAGCTTTTTCAAATGTCTTTCTATGTATGTATCTTCTACTGTCTTGTAAAAGCTTAAATGGTAGGATGACATTCCTTCCCCATATACTTTACATGTCCTATACTCCATCAGAGAATCTCAAAGTGACAGAACTGTATTCAAGAAAGATGATGTTTTGGAGGAGATGTTAAAGGGGAGGTTCTGAGCACTTGTGTTAAAGAGCTCACTGCTCCCTTACAAAAATAGATATTAGCCACAATATACTTGTTGACAATTTGGCCAACCTAATCTCTCCATGCAGTTTAACCTAACCATGATATTTGTCATTTCCTGTCCCACACTACTGATATTTTGCTGCAAACTGTTAAACAGCTGCTACAGTTCACTGGTTTCCTAGATATGGCTGCATATCAGGGTGAAGTGATTGATTTATGTAGTACTTTGGGATTGTCTAGTGTGAAAGGTGCTGTATAAATAAGCAGTTTTGCTTTATTTCTAGGTTGATAGGATACAATATCACTTTGCTCTTTTTCTTTCATTAATCTTTGCTACTGAGCAGCAGGATGCATTCACACACTTCTAGACATACAAAATAATGGGGTCTAAATTAGTTGCAAGAAAGATCTTGGCATCATTGTGAGTAGTATACTGAAAACATCCTCTCAAAATGTGCAGGAGCAGTCAGAAAAGCTAACAATGTTAATAACTAGAGAGGAATAGATACAAAAACAGAAAATCCATGGTACACCTACATATTGAATACTGCATGCAGTTCTAGTCACCTCATATCAAAAAATATTTTAGAATCAGAAAAGGTACATAAGAACGGCCATACTGGGTCAGACCAAAAGTCCATCGAGCCCAGTATCCTGTTTTCGACAGTAGCCAATGCCAGGTGCCCCAGAAGGAATGAACAAAACAGGTAATCCATCGAGTGATCCATCCGCTGTCACCCATTCCCAGCTTCTGGCAAATAGAGGCTAGGGACACCATTCCTGCCCCAACTGGCTAATAGACATTGATGGACCTATCCTCCATGAATTTATCTAGTTCTTTTTTGAATCCTGTTATAGTCTTGGCCTTCACAACATCCTCAGGCAAGGAGTTCCACAGATTGACTGTGCGTTGTAAAAAAAAATACTTCCTTTGTTTGTTTTAAACCTGCTGCCTATTCATTTCATTTCACAGTTCTTGTGTTATGAGAAGGAGTAAATAACTCTTCCTTACTTACTTTCTCTACACGAGTCATGATTTTATAGACCTCTATCATATCTCCCCTTAGTTGTCCCTTTTCCAAGCTGAAAAGTCCCAGTCTTATTAATCTCTCCTCATAAGGCAGCCGTTCCATACCCCTAATCATTTTTGTTGTCTTTTCTGAACCTTTTCCAAGTCCATTATATCTTTTTTTGAGATGTGGTGACCACATCTGCGCACAGTATTCAAGATGTAGGCGTACTGTGGATTTATATAGAGGCAATATAAATATAAATTTCTGTCGTCGTCTTCTTATCTATCCCTTTCTTAATGATTCCCAACATTCTGTTCGCTTTTTTGACTGCTGCTGCACATTGAGTGGATGTTTGCAGAGAACTATCCACAATGACTCCAAGATCTTTCTTGAATGGTAACAGATAATTTAGACCCCATCATTTTATATGAATAGTTGGGATCAGGTTTTCCAGCGTGCATTACTTTGCGTTTATCAACATCGACTGGCAACAAAATGATTAGGAGTATGGAACAGCTTCCATATGAGGGGAGAGTAAGAAGACTGGGACTGATCAACTTAGAAAAGAGATGACTAAAGGGAGATGTAATAGAGGTCTGTAAAATCATGAATGATATTGAGATAGGGAATAGGGAAATGGTTGTGCTGGTTGTTTACCCCTTCACATAACACAAGAACTAAGGGTCACCCGATTAAATTAATAGGCAGCTGGTTTAAAACAAACAAAAGAAAATACTACTTCACACACTGCACAGTCAACCTGTGGAACTCAGTGCCCTGGGATGTTGTGAAGGCCAAAAGTTAACTAGGTTCAAAGAAGAACTAGTTAAGTTTGAGGATGTCCATCAGTGCTATTAGCCAACATGGTCAGGAACACAACCCCATGCTCCTGGTATCCCTAAACCTCCAACTGCCAGAAGCTGGGACTGGATGATAGTGGATGGATCACTCAGTTGTACTGTTCTGTTCATTCCCTCTGAAGCATCTGGCACTGGCCATTGTCAGAAGACAGGCTACTGGGCTAGGTGGACCATTGGTCTGACGAGTATGGTCGTTAGAATTGCACTAAACATTTGGCTATTTCCCTGGCATAATGAGGTTCTTAAGGCAGAAAGAGAGATCAGAGATTTTGCTGTCATGCATTCAAAATGCAATTAATGGAGAGATTTGTTGGCAAAATAGCTTAAAGTAGGAGTCCGCTTGGGACTTAGTAAAGGAACTGCCAGCCTTGATTCATTGTGCTTCCCTACCCTGTACCTGAAGACAGGTAACTAAGGTGGGGTGGGAGACTGGTTTCCCAGACTCCTCCAGTGAAGCATTCAACTGAATGATCTAGACATGGGAACGCAGATTGGTAAAGCCCAGTGTATGTCTTTAGGAATAACAGTTTAAGAAAACAGGATAAACAACTCTAACGATGCTCATTACATTTCAGAAATTCTGGTTGGATTTTAACTACTACACTTGTTCTCTCCGTACTGGTGCTCCTCTGGATTTGCTGTGCTACTGTTGCTACAGCTGTGCAGCAGTATGTTCCATCTGAGGTAAAGCGAATTATTCTACAGCTTACATCACCTTGAAGTTATTCATATTACTTAGTGTCTGAAATGCTATAGGGTCTTAGGTGTAGAGCTGGTTTTTTGGTTCACTGGCTGTTCTGCAAAATTAAAAAATAAAATCTGCTAGAATCAAACTAAAAATGTTGGCAAATCAAAAGTCAGTGCATTTTGACCTGGGTTTAACAAAATTTCATCTGCATCAAAATGAAGCACTTTCTGTTGGGACGTTTTAAAAGTAAAGACAAGAATTGTAAGGTCTAGATTCACAAAATGGGTGGAGAAGGTGGTGGGGGTGCCTCCCTTTATAACCTTTAGCCCAGTAGATAGGGCACTTAGCTGGGATGTGGGTCACCTGTGTTCCCCTCTCTGCCGGCTGTGGAGCAGGGATTTGAACTTTGGTCTCCCACGTGGCAGAAGAATGCTCTGTTGGCATTTGGGGCAGGTCTCAATCTCTCAAAGTTGTTCAATTGTGTGTAAAGTAAATTAAAGTCATTGGACCAAGGACATAAATGCGGGTCTCCCATCTCCAAGGTGAGTGCCCATAACCGAGGCTGCAGTCATTCTCACTATGACTATTCTCATTCTCAATGACTATTCAAGCATTTTGTTGAAGCTGTTCCACTTTGTATAAATGATAAAGACAGTGAAATGACTACAGTGTCATGATCAAGGCTCTCACCTTGGAGGTGGGAAACCCAAGTTTGTATCCTTATTCCAATAATTGTTTAATTACGGTGTTTACACACAGTGGAACAACTTCAGCAAGAGAGATAGAGATGTGATTTAGAAAACCCTCCCATATTCCAGTGCTTAGGACAGTGATACTCAATTAGATCTACCTGTGGGCTGTTGAGTTGCCCAGTGTCTGGCTTTTGACTGGAACATCCAGTTGAAAAGGGACCCTGGTGCTGACCAGGCCACTAAAAATCCAGTCAGCGGGGCTAAGGCAGGCTCCTTGCCTGGCCCGGCCCGGCTCGGCTCCAGGAAGCGGCTGGCATATCTGCCTCCTAGGCACAGGGCAGCCCTGGGGGCTCTGCGCGATGCCCTCACCCCGAGCGCTGGCGCCGCAACTCCCATTGTCTGGGAACCCTTTTCCCCATGGTAACCATGTTTGACAACTGGAAATTTGTTTCTAGTATCTTTTTGCCAGAGCAGAGTGAGACCTAGGGGATGTATGGTTTCAGGGTGCATTCACTAAACCATTTAAAGGGGTTTTAATAAGATTGTGAAAAGGCTGAGAATGGCAGGAACCTGTGGACATGATGTGGGTGAGTGGCAGGAATCTGACTGGAGGAGGAGAGAAGGGACTGGCTGAACTGACATCCCCCCCCACTCTCCTTCCTCTAAAAATATGCAAGACTGGCAAGTACCACACTTATTCTGACAGGAACATGTCAGTCCTAGCCTTGGACTCAGACTCAACTGTGAACATGAATTTTAGATGTCATGGAAAATGCAAAGTGTTTCATAGTAAGAGTTGAAGCATTGCTACTTTGAGGACCTTCAAAACCTCACTGAGAAATGTATGATCATAGTTATGTCAGAAGCTGGGAATGGGTGATGGGATGGATCACTTGATGATGACCTATTCTGTTCATTCCCTCTGAAGCACCTGGCATTGGCCACTGCTGGGGAAAACAGGCTACTGGGTTAGATGAACTGTTGGCCTGACCCATTGTGGCCATTCTGTGTTCTTATGGCTAAGCATGTCTTGAGTCTTGCATTCAGAATCTGTAATGATATGATCTTTTTAAAATGTTTAATTATTTCAGAAGCTGAGCATCTATGGAGACTTGGAGTACATGAATGAAAAACTGACCAGATACCCAGCTTCTGCTCTTGTTGTTGTTCGATGCAAGACTGAAGAACATGAAGAAGCAGGACCTCTACCCACAAAAGTTAATCTGGCTCATTCAGCAATTTAAATAGCTTAAAAGAATTTAATAGACTAATTCTAGCACTTCTATCAACTCCTGGTGTTTTTTTATGGTTTCTTCAGCTGCGGGGCTTAGCGGTCAGTGTTTAAATGAAAATAAAGTTACAGAATCAACAAATCAGTCTGTCATGGAATCCTTGTTTTCCTCCAGTAGTGAAGAGAATTGCACGTTTAACTTGCAGTTTTTTTTCCAAATATATGTAATTGCTTTCACTGGAGTTTGCAATGTGTCCTTTTTGCTTAACAAAAACTGTAAGCATGCTCGCTACACTTCTACCATGGCACTTTCAATCAGTCATTTCTAACCGTTCTATGATGTAAGATCGGAATTAATTCTGTAAAAGTAGGATATAAATTCTCAGTGGGCAGAAGATGCTTAGGTCAGGCATTTTCAGTTGTGAGTAACTAAGAACATTATTTGCAGAAATGTTGTATTATCCGTTAATCTTTGCAATAACCCTTTTCCCAAAAATAGAAATGTATTTTTTTACAGTTATCAAAATGCAGAGCGTTAATGAGGTACTGCAGGTTTAGCTCAGGCTGTCAGAAATACAAGTTTTTAATGACTCATGGACGTATCCTTTTGCACTCAAAAAAGAGACATGCTTATTTATTCTTTTGACAAACTTTAGCCTTAAACTCGTCAATAGCTTGTTAGGGTAGAGCATACTTTTTCTGAAGGCACTCCCTTTGCTGTATTGATTACCTAAGTGGGTCCAGTTGTTTCATTGTCAGAAACAAATTGATTACTGAAAACTGAGAATAAATTTAGAAAAGTAGAATAATGACTGTAGCCTTTTGCTATGGCTCTCAATTAACCATGATGCACTCAGTATGAGACTCATCTACCAGCATCCCCCTAATATATGCAACCTTACCACATTCTGCTACATTAGTAAATACTGTTACTGAATTGTATTAGTTATGTGAGAATATTGTTATAGCTAGTTTGTCCAACACAGTTCTATTCTTTACTACAGTAGCTATGATCTAATGGTGCCTGCTAGGCATCTATAAGCAAGAAGGGACTGTGATGGTTTTCCTTACAAAGTCTCTTTGCAAATGTTTAGAAACTGGCCCAAATTATAAGATAACTTATAACTTTTTGAACTTTATCCGATTGTCTACATTCAGGTTAGAAGCAGGCAATAGAAATCTACTGGTTTTGCATAGCTTTTGTACTCTAGCAAAAATTATACTTGAGACGTCCAGAGAATAACTCGTTGCATGAATTAAAACCAGAAGAATAATTTTAAGTTTGGTTGAGAGTGAGGTTTAGAAAAAGGTATGCATTTAGTAAGTTTCTAAAGTTTGAGAACTATATAGTTGTGGTTATAGATCATGTATTATGGGTCCATACTTAGAGTGCATACCACATACACTGTGGTGCTTGCTATATGTGGTAAGCATACACAGAGCTGCTACAAATCGGTGCTCTCTTCAAAACTATGTGCACCTTACTTTTTTGTCATGAAGGTGTAAGAAGTTCAGGATCTAATTCTTCAAGGGGTCTAGTGTGTTATTGTACAAACATTGAATTTAAGCCCAATTACATAGTAACTTTTGGTTGATGTGGCATTGAAAGAGGATCTGACTTACAATCATGAAAGTTGGAGTGAAATGCTGTTCTTAACATGTCTTTATTAAATACCTAGGTTATACAAGGGTCTAAAAATGTGATGGTTGGTTGTGCAGTGCTTTAAAAACTGTTTCATAATCTGATGCCCCAAAATAGCCTTTTCTATATCTGTAGTAGTAATCAGTCCTAAGACTCTCATTTCTATGCAGTTATGTACTTCAGACATCGGTACACAGCCTTGTTTGATACTAGCACATCAGCATTAAATATAACTTGTGCAATGACAGTTTAAAATCTTTAGGTGCAAATGCAGACTTTATACCAGTGGCTATGGCTGGTATTCTTTGCACTAACTTTGTCTGCAGTGCAGTCTCTGAAGACATTTTAATTATCCCAAATTTTGACATATAACTAGCATTGAATATAGCATATATGTAGCATTGAATCTGTTTTCCCTGTGATGTGTAAATGCTGGAAATAGTGTTTATGTAGCCTCACTGAAAGTATAACTGTCCAGTTGCCTGTTTCACTATGTATAGTACAGCTTTCATTATGTCAATGACTTTAATTTTTAACTCATGAGTGTAAAACTGTTTTTTCTTAACTTGTATTTCTAAAGGTGGATGTTTTCAAATGTTTAAATTTTTAATTATATTTGGGTTAATCAACAGCTTCTAGTTTTTATTTTGAGCTGTAATATCTGCTTAAACTTCTGAAAACCAGAAACGAAAGGAAGAAACAAATCAACAAATAGACATAAATAAAAGTTCAAGTCTTGGGCCTTGTTACTTACCTGAAATGTTACTATACAATGAATAGATGCTGAAGTCCAGGACTCAGTAACACTCTACCATGGGTGACACCTACAGAAGTTGAGTTCCCGTAATGAACTTCTCAAGGTATTAATTTCTATAAACAAAACCATAGTCCAAGGAACCAGACTTTCACAGTATTATACATTTCAGGTTTTATCCAGGTCCGTTATCAGAATCAAACTAATGCCAGCAGTTCCTACTCTAAATGCAGACGGCAATTCAGTCATCTTGGTATTTGAAAATACAGTAGTTTGTAACCATTATTGGAGCAGACCTAGGTCTTATTTACCAGTTTTTAAGATGGCAAAACAATCTCTATTCCTCTTCCTTATATTCAGATGCTCTGTTTTCTGAAACACTAATTTTGTGTGCAGTGATTTGGGTTTTGGCTCTGCCCAAAAATGAAAACTTTAGTAAAGTGCTTTAAGCTATTGTAGATGAAGGACCACCTATTTCCTCACCTTCCTGTTCCCCATATTATTGTACTTTGTTCCCTTTTCTCTTTTGTTTTGAGAACTCAAAAACATCTAAACTTAGAAACAGGAATCCTAGCATCTCCGTTGCTCAATAAGCAATATATGATTTAAGTTACAAAAGACTGATAATTCCTGCTCCCCATGGTGCAGTGGCCATAGCTTAGTTATTGTGCCATCAGAGGCCTAGGTGAATGGACGTTACAAATTTATATGCTTATCTGTTCCACTAATTTTATTACTCTGCATCCATCTCGTTAGGGCTCACATCACCCTACAAGGCTGGCAAATATTACTTTAGTAGATGGAGAAACTGAGGTACAAATGTTCTCATTTTGGCCAAAGACAGTTCCTGATTGAGCTGTGATTTATATATAATCTCCCTGCGTAAACCCAAGTGTTCTCTAGTAGGCTACAGCAGAGAGTGTGCTGGTCTCTGATTTCTTAATGACTGAAAAAGATGAAATGTCCTTGCTGGTTCTTAGACTTAAGAGCAGAATATGAAGCTATGAGTATTTGTTAACTCTACTTTGGATCCCGAATGTGATCATGCGGGGTAGGATCATTCCAATTATTTAGAATGATCCCAGAAGAGGATGGTGGATAACTAGCCTCCCTGAGCTCTCCGGGGATTTTACTGAATTCTTTTGTCATTCCTGTTTAAACACTGTTTATTTAAAAAAAAAAAAAAAAAAAAAAAGCTTGTATGATGAGCCAGTTGGGAGGACCTGTTTTTATAGAGGCACATGCTTCTGATCTTACTCTCCTCGATAGCAGCTGTAAATTCTGCATGTATTGTGGTCATAAGCAATTACACTCAGCATCACTGCTACCAGAACATCTAATTGAAAATCCTTGTGCATTAATTTACACCACAATTTTAGGTCTAAACTTAGAATGTTTAGCATATCCAAAACTGCAAGGAGACCACATGCCAAGCCACTTGTAGCTTTGTTTTTTCAACACAGTAGTCTTCCCAAAGAGGAACTGCAACCCTAACTGAGGATATTACAAAGCTCCTTAAACCGCTAGATCAATATTTTGACTATTAAATGTAATATTTCTGTAAATGGCTTGCATGGAGTATCTTTAACAAACTTCTATGGCACCAGTCTGCTTGTGTGTTCAGTGCTTCCCTCCTGCCAGAGTATGTTCTCCTAGAACAGTCATTTAAGCTGTAAATCTTGCCTGGGCAGGAACTAGCCCTTTATGCTTGGACAGTATCTATCTTGTTGGGACTGCAGGGGGAATCTTAAACTAGTAGGGGGGCATCATTCTGAGCCAGAGGCTGACCTAAGATGTGCTATGGGCTTGGACATTTGAACTGGTAGGTATAGGGTAGCCCAAGGTGAGTAGATATGTGGAAACTGATGCATCACCTAGGGTCCCATCACAAATGAAGCGTGACCGTATCTCATTAGATGTTTGCTGTATGTTTGGGCCCAGCGATAAATCTTATGTGCCCAGCGTCTCAAGGCTTCTTTGGGTATGTTTGCGCTAGAGAGCAAAAGACTGGAAAGAAAATTGAAGTTCCCTTATAGTGATGACCTAGCAATATTTGGATGATTAAGATACAGCTTAGCGTCTCCCTTGTCCAAGCACACTAATTCTAACTGGATCTACACTACAGAAGAAAGCAGCATCTTCTGAAGACCTATGTTGGAAGTAATATTCTCCTTTCCTGTTAATGTGGATAGTGCCTCAAGTGTCTCTCCTATTTGCATTTACCTCTGGGTTAAAACAGATTTTAGTTTTCCAATTCTTTTCTAGTTTGGAATGTTTCCTTTTCACTACTAATCTTTGTGGAACTAGAGGCACAGCAACTACTTTTGCTTTAGTGCCTGTGAGGATGATTCATTGTTATTTCACGATTTTAGATAGCCATCCTCTGCCCTGGGTGCTATCACATTAAAACAGACAATAACTTTCCCCCTGCAATAGCTGTGTATATGCCCATCCCTAAATCACAATCCTAGTACTAGCTCACTATCTAGGTGTCTCCTTATCATTTAACCCATCCTCCTTACATTTTCAAGAAGGTGACCGGCATTACACCATGTCTGGAAAATTAAATTCTGCTCCTGACAGCGGCTGTTGTCCTCAGTAAGCTCTGTTCTGCTAAGTCGCTAGTAAAATAGCGTGTGGGAGTGTTGAATAACGGCGGTGCCCTGAGCTGTTTGTTTTGTAGTTATTACTGTATGCTTACTGGTTTACCCAGGAGTCACATGATGTACCTGCATTGCCAGACAAAGCTCTGACCTCTCCTCTGAGCGGCTGCTGTCCGCACTATTTACCTTCTTTCCCCTAACCACCAGCATTCCAGCTCTATTTTCATCCACAGCCCTCCGGCAGATCCCTGGGTCACCCCATTTCCTGATCAATCTCCCTTTCCCCTCCCACATCACACACAGACCCCATACATTTCACCCCACAGGTGAAGTATGATGATGTGCTCCCACAGTAGAGATGGGATTTGCGGGGAAGGGAAATGTGTGCCTTGCCGGCTCCAGGCACCAGCGACGGAAGCAGGTGCCTGGGGTGGCCAATACAAAGGAGCGGCACTCCGTCCAGGTCTTTAGCGGGAATTTGGCGGTGGGTCCCTCTCTTCCTCTTTGAGCTGCTGCCGAAGTGCCGCCAAATCGTTTTATTTTTTTTCCCCGCCGCTTGGGGCGGCAGAAAACCTGGAGCCGGCCCTGCTTGCCAGCTCCTATTCTTTTACCTCCTGCAGAGGAGGAAATGGTCAGATAATGGACATATGTAAGACCTTAGACCTAAGCCAATGTCCTATACTAGAATAAAACAAACACTAATTCCTTTTTCTTACGTTGTTGGGGAAGGAAGCGGTAGAGGCTCTCTTGCCCGACCCAGTGACTCATCTCTGAAGATGTGCTGGTGCCAGCGAAGTTGGGTTTGCAGACTACAGCAAAGCAGCATCTGTCCTTTTGCTACTTGCACCCATTGTTGGGTTCACATCCACCAGCAGGGAAAGATAAAGCCTGAGTCAAATAGCAGTGGAGTTAAAATGAGGGGAAAGGAGGGGTGGAAGGAAGATACACAGAAAAAGGTGCGGTGGTGGTGGTTCTGAAAGTTTTGAATATTAGGCTTAAATTAACTGGCTCTTTCTTTTAATCCTGACATCAGTTCTTGGGTTTGTTTTCAAAATCCACGCTGAAACTAGAAAGAAAAGGGAGAAGAAAATTCCTGTTCAGTTGGTTTGCTATGTACTCCTGTCAAAAGCTATAGCAGAGGGGCTGGAGTATTATCTACGTTATATAGAGCCCTTTACTACTTCAAAGCATGGCACCAATCCATACTGAGCCTGCGCGCCCCTCCAGGGTAGGTAAGTGTTATCCCTGTTTCATGGACTCTTAGCAGGCCTGATTCTCCTCACACTGGTTCTAACTCTGTTGATTTTTCGAAGCAGGGTCCTCCTACTTTACGCCAATGTAAAAGAGGGAAATCAGGCCTGCTAGGGTTGGATTCTCAGAAGTGCTGAGCACCTTTGAAAATTCGGATCCTAAGGGTACATACACTACCATAGAACACCCCAGGCTGGCCCAGGTCAGCTGCCTCAGGCTCGCAGGGCTACAAAATTGCACGGTAGCTATTTGGGCTAGGCCTGGAGCCTGGGCTCTGGGATTCCATGAGGGAGGAGGGTCCTTAATGGTGTCTTTGTTCTGGGGAGAGGATCTGTCTCTTTTCTATCTGCCACACACACATTTGTCCTTGGTTGCTTTGATCTCCCTTTCATCTTGGGGCTGGGTATCATGGCGCTACCGTCTATTTCCTTTCTAGCACTTTCCCACAAACCAAAGGGAGTGTCTTTCCCTGACACTGAAGGCAGAAAGATGAAAAATGGACTCAGACAGGCCAGGTTAGAAGGATGGGCTTTTCCAAAGTGGGAGCTCTACACACACTTCAGCAGGAGCAGAGTCAGGCCGGTGACAAGCACTTCCAGAAAGCCTATGCCAACGCTCTGTGGCAGTTACCTAGTGTGTCTGCAGCCACAGTAACTTCTAGTCTGTTTGTTAACACAGTGACACTCAGCGTTCTGGCTGGGGCCAGCTAATGCTATTGCAGACAGACCGCCGCCTTTCCTGCAGCTCTGCCAAAGCGCCTCCCGCCCTGCCAGCCCAGCTCCAAGTGCAGCTTTAGTTGTGCTGAGCTGTGTGGTGTTTGCTAATGTGTCCACTAGGGACCAGGCTATGACCATCCAACTCTCGCTCACTTCCGCCCAGAGCCAGAGAAAAGGCTGATGTTGCCTCTCCTGCCATCCATCAGGCCCTGTATCATATGTGTATGACTATAGATTAGAATGACTCTTTCCTGTCTACCTCTGTTTCTCTTAGTAACCAGGTAACACAGCGGCAGTGCCCTTCATG